ACCTGTTGCGGAGTACTACTGGTCTCACCTAGTGTTACCTTATTCAACATGGCAGATTCATCAAAGGTAACATCCCTACTGATAATCGTCTTCTTTGCTTTTAGACATCACAAACGGTATCCCTTAATTCCAGCATTAAAGCCCATAAAGAGAGGTTTCTTTGCACGTGGATCCAACTTTGATTCATCTACATGATAATATGCAGTAGAACCAAAAATACGCAAAGAATCATAATCTATTGCAGGTTTTTCAGACCATACCTCTAATGGAGTCTTGCCACCTATTGCAGATGATGGCAAGCGATTGAGGAAATGTTGAGCGTATGTCACAATCTTAACCCAAAATTTCTGCCTAATCTAGCATTAAACAGCATACAACGTACTTTCTCCACTAGTGTCTTATTCATACGCTCTGATATCCCATTCTGCTGCGTGTTCTTCTTACTATGAAGTGCCGAACTATGCCACATTGTTGGCATATCTTCTGAAAGGATCACTCTTGTATTCTCCACTATTGTTGTTCGAAGAATCTTGATCTTTCTTCCCGTCTGATTTTCAACCTGAGTTTTTCATTTAAGGAAAATCCCAAACACTTCATTCTTCTTCTTCATAGAAACACCAAACTCTTCTGAAAAAATCATCAATAAAAGTGACAAATAGTACCTGCCTCCAAGGGATGAAGTCTTGGCAGGTTCCCATATGTCTGAATGCACATAATCAAAATACCCTTGATATTATGGATGGGTGGGCCAAATTTTATTCTTCTCTGTTTCCCAGAATACAATGCTCACAAAATTCTAATTTGCAAGTTTTCGTACCTTTCAATAATCCTTGCTTGGCAAGATTTTGTAAGAATTTTTTACCAGCATGTCCCAATCGCATGTGCCACAACTTTGTTGCCTCTGCATCCTTCTTGTTATTGGAAGATGTTGTGCTGCTGCTGTCCCAACAACTGTACTACCTTGGTAGTAATACAGATTATTTTCTCACGCCTTTCAACAAATCAAGTGCTCCCGAAATTGCTTTAAGAATTCCATTTTGCATCTTCACTTTCAGAATTTTGACTCCAAGAGTTCTAAAAAGATGAGATTCTTCTTCAAATTCGGTACGTACCGAACATCCTTCAAGATTCTGGTGGATCTATCATGATTACGCAGTTTGATTGAATCTATCCCAACTGTTTTACATGGTTGTTGTTTCCCATGTAAACAACTCCACCATCAGGCTCTTCAAGTTCGAAGAACCACTCTCACATAGGAGACGTATGATAGGTGCAACCTGAATCCAAGATCCATTCATCTGGATAAGATGTTGAAGGTGATGCAGCTAAAGAGAAATCCGATTCCGCATCACTTTTGCACTCTGTAACATACATTTGCGTCTTACGAGCTTTCCCTTTCTTCTTCAACTTTGGACAATCTTTCTTCCAGTGCCCTTTTTCACGATAGAAAGCACACTCATCTTTGGCAACTCTACTTTTCGATTTGGACCTTCCTCTTCTCTCATTTGATTGGCTTTGTTAACGAACTCTTGCCACTAACGCTTCATCTGTTGCAACTATTTTATTTTTCATTTTATCCTACTTTCTCAATTCATGACTATACAAAGCAAAACATACAACATCTAAAGATACATTTTCCTTCCCATGAAGTAACATAGTTTTCAAATGTTCAAATTCATCAGGAAGGGATGACAACAAAATCAAAGCAAATCTTCATCTTCAAATTTAACATCTAAATTTAACAGGTCTGCTACTAACTGATTAAGCATAGTGATGTGTTCATTCATAGTAGTACCTGGTTGGTAATTGAATCGAAACAATCTTTTCTTCATTAGGAGTTTATTCTGACCACTTTTCTTCAGAAATTTCTCCTCCAATGCCCTCCACAATTTCCATGCAGAAGTCTCGTTCTTGAAAGCATACTTTTGCTCTCTGGACAAACACGATCGAATAGTTCCGCATGCCAACCGATTTATGGTACTCCACTCCCTCTCTTCTATATCATCTGATTTCTTTTCTTCAATGGCAATGTCAAGACCCTGTTGGAAAAGAGAGTCTATGACCTCGCCTTGCCACATGCCGAAATGGCCAGTACCATCAAATATCTCCACCGCCAACTTCGAACTTGACATTGGAATCCTCGACCATGTGGACAGGGAAACCGATGCCCAGATGTAACTCTTGACGTGGAATCGTTTGATGCCATTACAAACTCAAATAATAGTATTCAATATAAAAATTAAAAACATGCCAAAGGACGAACCTTCGGCTCTGATACCACTTGTTAGGGAAATCGGGTAATTTTCCACTCAAAAAATTCAACTAGTGATTTAAACCGATTCGGTAATTCCAAGAAAGATTATCAAACAATCTCCTAAGACAGAATTATCATTCCAAATAAATTCTCAGAACAGGCTGGAGGGGTCACAAGCGATCCCACTTAAAACCAGTCTTCTAGACAGAATTTACGTGCACGGTGTATTATCACAAATATACCCGTGTATACATAAATAATACGTACACACGAATAAGAATAAATACACCCAAATGAACCGTATAAAAAAGCTACAAATATACCCGACAAATATATTGAATACTATACTACAATAGAAAAGAAACTACTAAATAAATAAAAGAGATAAGGAAAGAACGCATCCGAAAAATTGATAACAGAGTTCGGCCAATTTTGCCTAATCTAAGCACCGCTCAAGCGACCCGCTCTTATAAATTTTGGAAGAAGAAAGAATTACAAAAGAATCACAAAATCCTTTTGGTGTAATTCTTTTGTAAGTGTATTTGGTAAATATTATTAGGAACCTTGAGAGTCCTTTTATAACTCTCAAGCAATCCTACAACTTCCAAAACAACCGATGTGGGATTAAATGTTTGCCAAAAAAATGTCAACAATTTTGGTTTGGAAAAGTCATCAATTTCTGCCACCAAAGTCAACAACTACAAGGTTACCAGAGAGACTAAAACTTCCAGAATGGACTAGATTTACATAATCGGATGCTCGTGAGTTTGAAAAAAATCATACAAGAATGGGCTTTCCACTACTATATACATCAAGAGGCTAAAACTTTGATGAGAAACTGTTCCAAGATTTTGAATTGAAACAGTCAACCTTGAAAAAATTTCTACCTTCGGTATAAATTGAACCAGAAGAATTACTTTATAAGTAGTAAAAGCCCTTTGGGAAAGCATATGGCATCTTAATCCAAGCTTTATACACCAAATTATGACGGATTCAATGCAACTATGCTATGCAGACTTTTCTATGCAAGATTATGAGTTTTTCTTATTTCCAAGTCATGGTTCTGCTGTTGTAGAATACAAAAACCATGAAACTTCATCATAAACGGCTCTGTATCATATAACTTCTAGGTTTAATAGGTTCTCCAATTTTCTAGAGTATACATGGGTTAGGATCACGATTTGAAACTGCTAAAACATGAATATGTCAAACCTTCAGCCATGAATTCTTCTTGTTTTTCATCATTGAATTTTCAGGATCATACGGTTTAGAACATGATCATAAGTTATCATAGGATACTCTGAAAGATTTTAATGTAAAACAATAACAATTTGTAAGTAACATGAAATAGAAGTAGCGGTTTTACCCTACACAAAGAATTCCTTCTCTTTCTTCTCCGCCCTCCAATCCTCTCTCTGTCATCCACAATTACTAAGGAATATATCAGGGCCTACTAGCTAGTAGTGATAAAGGGTTTTTTAGGATCCTTCAATACTTAACACTTTTGTACTTATTTAATCTTTGTGGAATTAGGTTGGACAGCACTTAAAATTCCTTGCTGAAGTTCCAATGCGGAGCAAGAAAATACTTGTTCCTTTTCATTCTTGAAAAACCCTTTTCCTCTAAGTCCTTTTTTTTTCCCAAAAATCTGTTCTTCTTTTCCCTTTCTGGACAATCATAAATGTTAATAATAACTAAAACAATAAAAATTATTCACATTTGATAATTGCAGCATTTATGAAACTAAAACACTAATAGGTCGTAGAATAATTACTAAACAGAATAAATATCTAAACTAGTAGATACAAGCATCTTATGAACAACACAAATATGTACTCCAAAATATACATATGTTGTAAGATTGGGTGATTTTGACAACAAAAATACTGAATTAGATATAAAATCACGAACAAAAAACAATATAAACAGAACACCAATCTTGAAAAGTTAATTTTAACATAAATGAGATGCCGACAAGCACATGGAGTATGAAATTGATAATATAAATTGGACAGGTATTTCTTTCGTTGGAGGGCCCTTTGATTTAATGCTTGTCTCGTGATATTCCCACTTTAGCCAAAGAAAAAGAAAAGTCTATGAAATGTAAACAAGTTGGACAGAATGGTGAACACACTAATATATATTGCAAATGGTATTTTCGACAACGAAAATTATTTGGAAGTTTCAATCCAATAACGCAAATGCGACAGACTTTACATGATTTGACTAGGTTAAATTAAACCCAACCCCCCCCCTCCCACACAACAAAAATAATCTTTCATATTGCAACATGATCCCTTTAGGATTTCAAAATATTTATGTAACCTCCTGTGGTTTCATGTAATATGAAAAATGGACAGGAAGCACCAATAGTTACACTGATTAAACCATACATAAAAACGTGTGTGATAAAATCAAAATATCTATTTAAATTCCCTACGATTTGCATGAATATTCAATTTAGCCCTCAATAGTTTTTGCTTTTATCCACATTATTCTCGTATGATTTTATGTACGGTGGTTAAAGTGTTGATTGATTTAGTATGCATAAATAAGGACACTACTAGTAACTAAAAATATTATGGGATTTATTTTCTTTCCAATTTTCACTTTACATGAAATCACATGAGATTTATGTGGGTATTTAGCAATATTAGGTCGTTTATGTGACAACAAGTGAATCCACGGGGGATTATGTATAATCTATCCTTTTAACTGTATCTAGAGAACTCTTTCTCAGACCAGTATGAACTCTGAACTACTAGGTAGGGATTCAGTCTGGGTCCACTTTATTCTTCTCAGCATTAGTCAAATTCCAATTATCCTCCACCAGTGACGTTGTTCGATACCTTTAGCATCTACTGACTATAGAATCTTGGTTACAGGCCAGTCAGCTGATGGTTCACGACCAGGCGACTTGGTTGTAAGACTTGCCAAGGTCAAGTTTTCCCAGGCCATAAGTTTTCCTGGCTTATACAACTTTCATGATCCCTCAAACAATACTTAATTTGGCTCCTAATCTACCAATCTAGTTTGTAGGTTGTTAGCCTTTTACTCTTTTGATGCCTTCCTTTGAAATGATCTCCAGATATTTGTTGTTCCACTTCAAATATTACATGCTTTGTTTGCTTAGCTTCCATACCATTGAATATTGTTGTTCCACTTCCAACGACACAGACCCCTGGAACTATCTTGACTCTTACTGTGGAAATATTACATACAATCCTAACAGTCCTTCCGGCAGCATTTACAGAGCCAATCTGAATTTCTTGCTTTACAATCTGTCTTCGCATGCATCTCGGACAGACAACAATGGCTTCTATAATTTCAGTACTGGCGATGACCCTTCAAACAAGGTCTATGGCCTCTTTCTCTGTCGAGGTGATGTCACACTGATGTTTGCAAAGAATGCGTCGCAGATGCCCACACACGACTACTTCATGAGTGCCCAATCAAACAGCTGCTATTGTTTGGTATGACGAGTGCTTGGTACGTTTTTCTGACCAGACGATCTTCTCCAAGGCTGATTTGGGAGAGAATGTGACTAGGCGCAATCCATTCGATGTCCCTGGACCTGACTGGGACAAATTCAAAATGGTATTGATCAATTTGTTGCATAACGCTGCGGATGAGGCTGCAAATCATACCATGGGCAAAAAGTTTGCTGTCCAAGAAGGCAATTATTCCACTGATCAAAAGAGATTGTATACCCTTACGCAGTGCACACCAGATCTATCCCCTTATGACTGCAAAAGTTGCCTCAGAGAGGCTATAATGGATGTACCCGCGTGCTGTTCCAAGAAGCAGGGAGGGAGAGTACTTTATCCAAGCTGTAATCTGAGGTATGAGGTCTCCAGCTTCTATGATAATGTATCCTCTGCCTCGCCAAACTCTCCTGGCGGTCCTCCTCCTAATTCCACTGAAGGTAAGTTCTGCAGCCTTGCTATGGCCGTCTCTTCTTGGAATTGGTGTTGAATACAATCTTAATTCTTACAATTTCTTGTTTGTAGTAAATTCTAGGTCGAAAATGAAAAGCACTAAATTTACATCCTTCATTTTAAATTCATACCTTTGTTATTGGAATTAATATTATTGAAGTTAGTAGAATATGTAAATATAGGATGAAGGGTGTGAATTCACTTTCAAACGAAAGGAGACCACCACGTAACTTAATGAATTTTCTAAGTCAAATTTTAGTTGAATACGTAACAGTAAGATTTCCGCATCAGCACATCTTACTGATCACATGCATCATCATTTGTAATTTATGGAAGATTTTAAGTGGTCATACTTCTTAGGACAGTAAATTTAGTCTTTTTGCAAGCATTAGCACTGTAATAACTATTGAATAATGTTGAAGTAGAATTGTTATGGTCATTACGGAATCCCTTTAACTGTGATGGCCTGACGTGCATTACGTTTTTATTTAGTTATCTATCCATTTATCTATTATATGGTTTTTAAAAATCATATACTTATGTTATAATTTTATTTTGATTGGTTGATCAGCATACATGAATATTAAGTGCATTTGAGAAAGTTTTTGCATTCAATTTGCTAGAAACATTTACATAGTGTAAAAGGGCTCAAGTTCATGGAAAATTTTGCAATGATTAATCAAATGGAAAAAGTTTGGTATTTTTAATTTAACTTTTGTGTGTAACTAAAATAGTACATGAGTTATATTATGGGCGGTATTGATTGCAAAATTACGTAAAAAAAATGAAATTTCTATGGCATAATGCAAAGAAGAATCCATTTTAGTTTTTCCAATTTTAGACAAAGACATTCAAGAAGATCGAGGATGTATTGTACGCATGTAAAAGATTTTCCGTTATAGTGCAATATAATTTGTTTGCTAGTTTAAAATCTGATATTAAATAAGTAAATTAATGGTACTTCTTCGTGGTTTAATGTTTTGCCTCTTAACCTCTTGTGGTTTCAAAATCGCAATTTTACCTTAGTTGTGCTTTGGTAACGAGGAGGTTGGCTCATGAACTAAAATATTAGGGATATATATGTAAAATATTAGGGATATATATGTAATTTTACTATTAAAATAAAAAATAATATATATATATAATTGAGTTGGCTCATGAACTATCGAGTTGAATAGCTTTGAACTCGAGTTCGAATTCGAATTCGACTTGATTAGGTTGAGCATGCCTCAAGTTTGATGTTGATCAAGCTCGAGTTATCATGAGCAACACATCGAGCTCAAGTCGAGCTTTGAATTGAGTTGCTCGTAAGCGGTTCAATTCATTTACAACCCTACCAATGACTCGACCATCCGGCCGAAAGGATTTCCAATTTGATTGAAGAATGAGTTGGTCCGATCAAACCTGTTTGACATGGTGGTTCAATCAGAGCCCGTTCGGTTTTCCAGTTGATTGGGTTCTTTTTTTTAATACAATTGTGAATCATTGTTTTTGAAATAAAGTGTAATATAATTTTTACTAGATTTGTATGTTGGATTTCCACTTAAATGTGTAAAAACTTTTACTACTTGCTTAGTTTTTACTTGATAATTAAATGTTTTATTAAATAAACTTGTTTACTTTTTTGTTAGAAAATTAATTCTTTTAACTTTCAAACTTACAATATTTGAGTTGTTAAAAATTATTTTATTTTTTGAAAGATAAAATAATAAAAATGATGCTATACCTTTGAAAATAAGTGATACAATTTTGTTCTATATTTGAATGTGTTATTTATTTATGTACAAGTACAGTAAAATGAAATTAAATCTTCTATTAGTATTTGTATGTTCACTGTATATCTTTCAAAGTATAATAATTAGTATCTAAAAGTACTTTATTGCTATTTTATATTTGTAAATATTAATTTGCATATCTAAAAGTACTTTACATGAAGAATATTAGTCCCTCTGTTGGATTTCTTGTCCAATCGAGTTTAATAACTATGCATATTGCCATGTATTCTTCATGTAGGGTCATAAAAAATCAAAATGGAATAACTAAAAACAAATACATGACAAAAGAACAAAAAACACAGCAGAGGAAACACATCGTTGGATGATTTCCCACCTCAGATTCGTGGTCTTCTGAAAGCGAAGGAAACTTATGCTATCCAATTTCACAGGACCACGATGCGTAGTGCGAAATCATCCAACGAATAAGAAATAAGGATTTGCACTTCTACACAAGGCTACAAGTGCATAGGCTAAAGAATTTTTGGTGATTTGTCTCTCTTCTTAATTTGGTAAATAATTTTCTTCAACCTTTGTTCTTCTACAGCAATTCTTTGGCACAAAATTTTTTTACATTTGTTTCACAATGGATTTTCTGTTTTACTTTTTATTTCATCCCCTATAGTTATTGAACTGATGTGACCCTAGCAGTTCAAACAATCGGCCCAATGAAATAGGCTACAAACGAGTTGAATCGAGTCGACTTTGATTTAATCGATCCAAACTCGACTTAGTTTTATCAAGCTCAAATTCGAGCTTGAATTCGACGAGCTCTCAATATAACAATTCGAGCTCGAGCTTGACTCAAATTCAATCGAATTTGAACTCAAACTCGAGTTTAAAAAAATAATTATTTTATTTTTTAAAAAGGGAATAAAATAATAATTTTCTTAACAAATAATAAAATATTAGAAATATATATGTAATTTTACTATTAAAATAAAAATAATATATATATAATTAAGTCGGCTTATGAACTATGAGTTGAATATCTTTGAACTCGAGTTCGAATTCGAGTTCGATTTGATCAGGTTAAGCTCGACTCGAGTTTGATGTTGATCAAGCTCGAGTGTCGCGAGCAACACATCGAGCTCGAGTCGATTGATTTGGTTGCTCGTAGACGGTTCGATTCGTTTGCAACTTGCCAATGACTCGACCATTGCCGAAAGGATTTCCAGTTTGATTGGAGAATGAATTGGTCTGATCAAACCTGTTTGAATGGTGGTTCAATCAGAGCCGTCCGGTTTTCCACTTGACTGGGTTCTTTTTCTAATACAATTGTGGATCATTGTTTTTGAAATAAAGTGTAATATACTTTTGACTAGATTTGTAAGTTGGATTTTCATTTAAATGTGTATAAATTTTACTACTTGCTTAGTTTTTACTTGATAATTAAATGTTTTTATTACATAAACTTGTTTACTTTTTTGTTATACAATTAATTCTTTTAACTTTCAAACTTACAATATTTGAGTTGTTAAAAATTATTTTATTTTTGAAAGATAAAATAATAAAAATGATGCTATATCTTGAAATAAGTGATACAATTTTGTTCTATATTTGAATGTGTTATTTATTTATGTGCAAGTACAGTAAAATGAAATTGAATCTTCTATTAATTTGTATGTTCATTATATCTTTCAAAGTATAATAATTAGTATTAAAAACACTTTATTACCATTTTATATTTGTAAATGTTAATTTAGTACCCACTAGTTCAACCAATGACTGATTGTTAAAGTAGTCGCCCATTGCCCTGGTCCCTCTGCTGGATTTCTTGTCCGATCGAGTTTAATAACTATGCATATTGCCATGTATTCTTCATGTAGGGTCATAAAAATCAAAATGGAATAATGAAAACAAATACATGACAAAAGAACAAAAAACACAGAGGAAACACTTCGTTGGATGATTTCCCATCTCAGATCGTGGTCTTCTGAAAGCGAAGAAAACTTATGCTATCCCATTTCACAGGACCACAGATGCGTGGTGCGAAATCATCCAGCGAATAAGATATAAGGATTTGCACTTCTACACAAGGCTACAAGTGCATAGGCTAAAAATTTTTGGTGATTTGTCTCTCTTCTTAATTTTGTAAATAATTTCTTCAACCTTTTTTTCTTCTATAGCAATTCTTTGGCCTAAAAAAGCAATCTCATTTGTGTGGTTTTTTTCCAAAATATTTGGCATTGTTGTCATTTCTTAATAATCACTGGGTTTGGACAGCCTCGCATACAATGGGTAGTCGTATTTGGTCCAAACACAGTTAAGCTTGTAGATGTTCAAACCTCAGGGGAGTTTTCTGCATTGAAAAAAAACTTTTAAAGAATATTGAAAAAAAAAATTCTTTCAAATAATGTGTTTTTGCATAGCTTTTGGGTTAGGCTCTTCTCCATTAATTGGAGAAAATTTTTTCTCCATTACACCTAAGTAAACATGGTTATATATACTATGTTTGAAATAAAAGGTCATCCAAATTATATTTCTGGTGTTGTTTAAAGTATATTAAAAAATTCAAATTAAATTGATTAAATTTTACCATTGGATCAAACTTTACATTTTTTTAATATAATTTTGACCCATATTGCACCGTCAAAGTGTTTTGTACAAATTGAATGACAAAAAATTCATAAATGAGAATGAATTTTAAGTATGTTGATCTACTTGTGGAAGTAAAATTATTGACATAAATAGATTGTTGTGAAAAATTTAGGCACATAAATGGTGAGAAAGTAATAGAGAGGATCTCAACTCTAGCTTTTTGTCTGTGTAAGGCTGTCTCAGAGTGACTCTACCTCGAAGTTTAATAAACTTGATCTCCTATGATCAGCTGGCTTTCGAAGCTAAATTAAACTAACTTTCATCCAGGCAAAGGGCGAAGCCCCCCGCGAGCAGCTTTTTCAATTGCTGTCCCATTAATTGGGGTTGCTGTTGTGCTATTTGTCATGGCTTTAGTTTTCCTGAAAAGAAGATTGCGGAAGAGTCGTTGCAATGGCACCGAAACAAGTGGTAAAGTTTATTGATTGCAATTACAGGAAACCTCAGAGGTTTTTGAACTAATAAATTGAGTGAAGTTGCTTATCCCTGGTGTAGATGGAGTTGCTGAAATCTTAACAGCCGAATCCTTACAGTATAGCTTAACTGAAATTCAAATTGCCACAAATAACTTCTCTGTGGATAACAAAATTGGCGAAGGTGGATTTGGTCGTGTATACAAGGTCTTTGCATGAAATATTTTGCTTTTGTGAATTTGAATATCTACACATTTAATATTTCAATTAAATTCTAGCATGCATGTTTAATCAGGGTGTACTTGGTAATGGAAGAAGTAGCTGTTAAAAGGCTGTCAAGGAGCTCAGTGCAAGGTGCAGAAGAATTTAAAAATGAAATTGTAGTAGTTGCAAAGCTTCAACACAGAAATCTAGTTCGGCTATTGGGATTTTGCCTGGAAGGAGAAGAAAAGATACTCATCTATGAATTTGTTGCCAACAAAAGCCTTGACTACTTTCTCTTTGGTGGGTTCAATCTAGACATACTTATAGTAATTTTTTGTTGTTCCATGTGATCTTGTTCTATTTTACTTGACTTGCCATTTTATGGAAATGACGGCAAATTGCCTCTAGACAAATGTTTAATTGGTGTGAATTCTAGTTTAGACCCTTAAACCACAGACGCACTCAAACTTTAGTTCGTAAACTTTAATTTTGGATACTTCACCTCCTAATGCATCACATTTGTCACACATCATCACAATCTTTTGTATACACTGTCAGTGTAAGAAAGATTAATCAATCTTTTTATATGATTAAACTTGAAATAGAGAGTATTGACTATTGCCTATTGTGAATATTGACATTACCTAATTGAAGTTTTTAAGAATGTACACCTTATGAGTGGGATTATTTCGAAAAGGCTTGGAACCATTGGAGACGCGGCCAAACTTTAGCTCTTTTGGATTCAAGCATTGGAGATTCTTATGCCAGAAATGAAGTCATTCAATGCATCCAAGTTGGCTTACTCTGTGTTGAAGAAGATGCCAGTAAAAGACCCACAATGGCTTCCGTGGTCTGCATGCTCAATCCTGGTTCTGTTTCCCTACCAACTCCACATCGTCCGGCAGTTTTCCGGAGCAATGGATCGGAGAGCAGGGTAGACGAGCTGAAAGTTGATCAATCCAACACTCAAGAATTTCAGCTCCAAACTCTGTCAATGATGCATCAATTACTGAACCATATCCCAGATGAAGGAAGAAATAGGCCAATTCTGGAAGAAAATATCAAGTTCATCATCAGCATTATGTTGTAGATTTTGAAGCATGATTCATTTACCGGGAAGGTATCTAAATTTGCCCACTATTGTTGGAAATTAGGGAATTTTTCTGACAGGTTGTCAGCTTGTGCAATAATAAAAACCTGCTCAACTAAAGTTAATTTTTGTAAATAGTGGTAAGTAAGGTCGAATCCACAGGAATTGGGGATAAATGTTTTTTTTCAAATCCACAGTAACAAAGGGGGTGTTTTTGTGCAGAAGGTGACAATCAAAGAAATTCAAATAAAATCTAAGAAATTGCTAAAAATTAAATAATAATTTACTAAAATCAAATGAATAATAATTAAGGCTCTAGCCAAGAAATAACTTCAGCAATGGTTCACCTAATTGATCATCGATGCAAAGCCAATTCCAATTATTTACTAATAAATAGGTTATAACTGCCAAACAAGCGATGACAGTCAACCCCTTCTTACTGTGTCGGTGATTAAGGTACGCCTGTTAATCACTGCTCTAATTGAGAAATAATCCTCGGTACGCCCGTAAGATTTAATTCCCCAATTACCTTACGTATTAGAGGAGTCCTATTCTAACCAAATAATGCACTACCAGGATTATTTTATATTAGTCCGCATATTTCTCTGACACAAACCCAATCGTGCCAGTTGTCACTATTTTAGAGCAATTAAACAATTACAAATTTAACACTCTAATTGACATCAAGTTGCTAAATTAATTAATTATCTGGATCCAAAACAATCAATTAATTGAACAATCACAAGCGCTGTAATCAGGAATATGCGAATACCAATAAATAAAAGAAAAAAATAAAATTAAATCGATCTCACAATTTTTAGGCGAATCAAAACATCCGTTGTTTCTTTACTAGAAAGGGAATTTAGCTCATTCCCAATGCAAAAGACCCATACGAACTCGAAGAGAAAGCAGCGGCCATTGATTGAAAAATGGGCAAATTCAATTCGATCGAAGGCATAAAGAAAAGCAAAGTTACAGAGATTGATCTAATGTTCCTTTCATCCCATCATATGAAGGAAGGAAAAGATACTAAAAAACAAAACGGGAAAAGTCAAAAGCTAAAAGAATCCCCTCCAAAGTAGTGCTAGTCTTATGCTATTTCTATATTTCCTATCTAAGTGCTACTACTGTTGTGCGGCATCTCTCCAATTGCTAATCCTAGAAAACTCCTAGTTACCCAGGAAACGGGCTCCGTTGTAGCACAATTGTGGGCCATGGTTGTAGATCTTTTTGGAAGCTCCCCACGTATTGAATATTTCTCAAGAAGGCCTCCCTTTTTAGCACTTTTCTGCTCCACCTCCTGTAATTCAGGCCAAATACCAAATATAAGTATATATTAACAATTAAAACAATATTTTGTAAGGACAAAGCGGGAAATTAACAATAAAATGACCAACAATTAACACCCGATCAATTCCCCCCACACCTGAATCATGCTTGTCCTCAAGTATGAGAACAGCAATCAAACACCAAAATTTGACCATGGTCATCGCTCCATCCCCCATATTGCCAAGATACCAAGAAAAATCATATATCAAGCATCAGTGATCAAAATCCGAGAAACATCACCCCGATTAGCTTCTAAACCACAAACTCCTCTAATTTCAGGTTAACTAATCTAAGAAGAAGGAATGACGCACAACATTTATCACCAAATGGTCCAATTATTAATCAAAATCTCAACATTAAATTCACAAATCGGCAAGCTGACTTTTATCATACACTAACACAACTTTCACTTCTTTTTTTTCGCTATTTTTATTTATTTTTTCAATAGCACAAAAGACTTAGTCTCTAGCCATCGAGCCTTTTAACGTGAATTCCAACATTTGTCAGATGAAGAGCTCGGTTACTCAGCTCCTATCGCTATACGACCACGTACTCATAGAAATTATTACTTTTTGACGTGAGAATCGACACTTTAGGTGAAAACCCTAGTTACTCATAGTAATGACTAGTGGAGTACAATCAACTTTATTTCACAGCTAGATAACACAATAACTCAAAATAACATAGTAAAAGAAAACAAAAATAGCAACTGCTAGTCTCATTTCTTCAAATATAGAGAACTAAAGTTAATACTGGACCAATTCACATGAAAATGCCAACAATCATTCTCAATGCCTAGAAGAGTTAATCAAAAATTAGAAAGGCTACATAATTACTGATATTCACCAAAGGGATGCTCTTGGACTCAACCACATCAACTCGATATACTTTTATTACGAAAGCTTGACAATAGTAGCATCGAGTAGACAATCCAACATCAAATGACACCAACTAGCAAAAACTAGACAAAAATACATCAAATGACACCAAATAGCAAAAACTAGACAAAAACTAAAAATAGAAGGTAACTAAAAGCTAAAAAGTAAAAGCAAAAAGGAAACATCTGAAAAATAAAACTAAAAACATTAGCACCCCATCTAATCCCCCCCACATCTAAATGACACATTGTCCTCAATGTGGCAAAGAAACAGCAAAAGCAGGGAAAATGGGTAATAGAACTCCCCTGAATCGGGTCAAAGTGGTGGCGAGGCGGGATTGGGGTGGAAAACCCGCTTGCTGCATAAATGCCGCCAAATTCTGTGCCATGCAGCCACATTGTTGTCGATGTTAATCATCCGAGCCTCCAAATTTTGAATCTGCGTCCGGAGCTGGTGCCAGTCCTCAGCCCCTGGAGTTGGAGGCGGAGCGAAGGTAGACGGGCCGGGATCACCGCATAGGTACTAAGAGGCTACTCAATCAACCAGAAATAGAATTTTTAAGAAATATGGAGACTACCAAGTGCAATGGAATAACAAATGAAAAACCTCTAGTGAAGCCAACAGACAACAGCTGAGGCTCTCAATTTGGCAATGTAATGCACAAGAAACGGTCCACTAGATTAACAATACAAATCGCTGAGCAATGGACCCCCAACAATTGAACCAATACAAGAATTCAGCTCCAAATACCACAACAATTAAACTTAAAGAGCAATGGAACATCCACTAGTTCCACTCGAACATACTCTGAGCAGTGCTAGTGTCTAAACAAATTACTAAATTTCAGCAATCAGACACACTACCATCCAAATAACTTTCAAACAAAGGAACCAGCAGAAGTGCCGTCAAAAATTATCCCTACAGATGAAATAAAAGCCTCAAGTAGTCAAAACCCAATCATTGCTCAACAATGCAATTAGTACCAGAAAACAACCCCAAGCAGAGCAACAATTAGGCTCAACGGGACAGAGAAAACTAAACAAATCAGCCCCACTTTTATCGACCAAGAAACCCAAGAAAAAGGGCACAAAATCTAGCAATTTAGGACCCAAAAAATACAATTGGAGGAAGAAATTCAATACCTCCACCTGTCAAAAATTGACAGGTGGTGACGTCGCGGCAAGGAGAGAGACGCGGCAAAGAAGAAAAGGGCGAGACGGTGGCGCGAACTGCGTTGGCAGGGGGCGCACGACGGTAGCTCACGGTCGTTGGCAGGAGCTGGTGCATGTGAGCTAGTGAGATCGATGGGTTGAGTTGGAGTGGAGGTGCGCAGCTGGAGTGGCATGGTGGTGGCGGACAGTGAGATCGAGAGAGGGAAACGGCGGCTGTGCGTGAAGAAATGAGGTGGCGACGTTGGTGGCAGTCTGTGGGATTTAGTCGGTAAGTTAGGTCGCCAGAGGAGAGAGAAGAGCAGGTGGAGGGATGAGCAGCGTGCGGCTGTCGCTTGGTGT